GATCGAGGAAGTGGTTGTTTTCGTGCAGGCATTTTCCAGAACTTACTGTGTAGGTAAGTTGAAAGAGATCAATATTTTGAGATTTTATTTCGAAACGTTAATTTTTTTATGAATATCATAGTTATTGAAGAAACCATTAACACAATCATCGAAAGATTTATTCAGGAAAAGATTCCCATTACTTATTTTGGCGAAACTCACTTAAAATAAGCGACAATCAACTATTTCGAAAACAGAAGAAATGAACTTGATCACAAAAGATCCATTCAATGCATTCAAACATTTTGCAGACCAGAGCTTGTCATTGTTTGGCATGGTTGTAATAAAAATAAAAAAGTGTTGCTATTCTTCAACAGTGATTCAGCTATCTCATTATCTATGATTTTTTGTGACCTGGCATCCTCATCAATGAATTTCATCAGTTCGGACTTCTATTGTCTGAAATGACTCTACTTTGATTCGAAATCTATGAAAGAACAAATATAATTACAATGAATCATCACCCGAATACGATTGTGGTACTACCAGTCGAAACAATCGAAACTCTGTAGTCATTTTCATTTTGTATCTTGATTATTTTATTGTATTTTCGTTTCAGGTTTCATCAAATGAATATTACTGACCTTTTATCTCAACACCAAACCGTTATTTCAATACCTCGACACGTGTTTCGATCACTAAGTGATCATCTTCAAGAGGAAGATTAAACTTCCTCTATCATAGATTTCAATCATATTATACAATGAAAGTAAGAACTGATGAAATTCACCATGAAACATTGTCAACCACTTTCAAACAAAACCACATCAATGTCACATGATTTCTCCTCTCTAGTTGTTCGACACCTACGTATATAAGTAACTGTTGAGCTTTTAGTACGTTTCTGATAGTGAAGCTTTATTCTTAAGAAACATTACATGTTTATGATAGAGAGTTATACATGTAAACTAACTGGAAATTAAGAAACTATCTGGATTATAACGTTCCCAAGCGTCTTCTACGATCTTTGTTGCAGCGACTTCTGACAACCATAATATATTTAGAAGCATTCATACAGTGAATATTCATGGGTTCTGCTTCAAATGTTTTTGATTGTTTTTTGCACTAACCAATCTACATATTCGACGGATCCGTTATTTTAACACCTTGACACGCGTTTCGATCACCAAGTGATCATCTTCAAGAGGACGATCAAAGTTTGATCTTCCTCTTGAAGATCTTGGGAAAAAACTCCCGCAATATTCATCGGATGTCAAATATCTAGGCTTCCATACAGAAACGAACATTCAGTGAGCTGATTAACTTTCTACGTGCTTCAGCCTCCTGAGTTTCCAATGGATTAGAACAATCCATATGTGGTAGGGGTACATTGAGATAATTTCAGACTTGAATGCGATCAGACAATTAAGAATATCCCTTGCTTATTGAATTCAANTTCCAATGGCTTAGAACAATCCATATGTGGTAGGGGTACATTGAGATAATTTCAGACTTGAATGCGATCAGACAATTAAGAATATTCCTTGCTTATTGAATTCAATATTCAAATTTTGCCACGACCATCGAAATCCTTCAAGTGGTAATATGCAATCTGTTTCTCCTATAATTAGAAATTATGAAAGCACTACTTTTGGTAACTATATGCCCTAATGATTCATTCCTATTCTGTAAATCACAACTCTAAGAAATTCGCTTAAAAGTTAGTTATTGGTCCAAGTCTAAAAAATACGAAATGTATAAAAAATCCAATGTTTACTAATCATAACTCTGTACGATGAAGACAGCTTTATACGTCAGACTGTCGTAACTCTGTCCACCTCTACGTACCGTACAGAATTGTCGCTGTGTCAGCTGAGAAAACCTTTCTCATCGATGATGGCAGTGTCGGAAGACAAGCTTTTGAGTCTTGTTTGGAGTATCGATCTTGGCCTCCTTCGGCAATTCTTCCATAGAATGAGAATCGTCAAAAAACTGAAAAAGAATATTCATTATCACGAGTGTTGAATGAACTGATTTATTGGAGAACAATTGAGTACATAGTAGTTGAGAGCAGTAGTATTAGTAGCAGAATAATAACAAATTCATTTTCCAAGGAACGTTCGACCACAGAGAAAGAGGGTGGTTAATTATATTACTCATTATTTTGAAAGAAGAGAACACACATCAGTTACTTTATATAACTTGAAGCATGAAGCATTCTTCAAGGTTTGAAACTTGAAGTCTGTGAAATAATAGATATTTTAGTATCTCTCTTCAATTATAATTTCATGGATTGATTTACGGAATGAAATGAATTTGACAGAAAAGAAAGTGAAAAACTGTTTTACAGAAAAATAGCTCTAATGCAAAATATATGGCACGACCAAATCCAGAGATGAGTCGATGAGAAATATAGAATTGTTATGAAACCATACTCGGCAACACATTTGGAAAAACGTTCGTGAGAGGACCGTCTGAGAAAAAGATTGAAAAACTGCTTCAACTGAACAAGGATTGGTCCAGAATAATTACAAGGATACCTACTGGACACTGTCTACTTACAGGACACCAGAATAACTATTCTTCATTTGGAGAATTATCTAAATTTGAATTTGGAATTTTGATTTTTGGTCTATTCAAAGCTATTATTGTAGTTTCAAATTTTGGGAATAATCAGCTGTTTGTTTTGTCAGATCGTGAGATCTTTTTTCCTTATTGTTATATTTTTATTTTCAAAAAAAAGCTTTCATTCATTTCGTTTCTTCTTTCTCAGGTTTTTGATGTAAGGGACAATTATTTCAAACTCTTGGTGTAGTTAACCTGAGTCACTTTAAATGAAGGCCTTTTTTGTTTCCTCCTGAAAGACAATATCTATCATTATTTCCTTCTATTTTTCGGTTTAGTTACAATTATTTTGCAATTTCAAATTTAGTGTATTCTCTATGAATTGCCAAATCGACATCTTGAAAACACGATATTCACAAAGCTAAGAATTCGAATACTTTATGCGGACGAAACGGTCTGGTTTAAGTTTGACGATAGTCATGTCACGAAGTGTTTTGGCGATGTATTGAATATATTGGAGCCTTTGGAGACACCCTACATTTCATTTTATGAGAGAGAGGACATTGGCACATCAAGCTCTTCAGACGATGTGGTGCTGCAGGTTTTTCCGGGTTTTTCTGCAGCTGAAAAAGCAAATGCGCCACTGGAATTAATGAAGTCGCCCCGGAGCGCCAATTAATTTCAATTGTTGTTTTTATTGTCATCGTTGTTTTACAATAAAATTCAATAATCCATAATGCTTCAATATATTCTGTAATGAATTTGTTCGACTTCCATTGAATATTATATCAGCTGTATGTTGAAAAAATGCAAAAAAAATTTGACAGCTAATCATCTGATCAGCTCTCACAAGCGTGGTTTCAATTCCATTTGAATGTTATTTAAATATACATAATAAGTGTCTTTCATTATTGAACATTTATGCTTTCAACAATTATGAGATATACATTTTTATGTATGTATGTATTATTTTATTGTCATTCATGATCATCTGAAAGACAACTAATCTGAACTGAACTGAACCGGATGAATAAAAAAAAGAAATGAAATGAGGAAAATGAATAAATGAAATGAGGAAAATGAATAAAATAAATCTATGTGATAAAATTAAAATGAAAAAAAAAATTAGAAGACATTATTAGGTCTAGCAAATGTTCATCAAATTAAATTTTTCATATTTATTCAATATTTTAGATGAGGATAGTATTATATTATTTTTTCGCCATGAACTGAACTATATTTGACTCCGATTTCATTTCGTTATTCAAATATGTAGTTGTAGACAGTAGTTGATTGTCTTTTTTTATACTATTTGTTGTTTTCCAGTTATAAAATTCATTGACACATTTTTTCATTCGTTTCGTAATATATTCAATTGATAAAAAAAGTTTTCGTACAACAATATAAAACTGAAAAAAATGAGTTTCTGCTATTTTGAAGACACAACATTCAGTAACTACTGTAGAGATATTATAAATCAAATGGAGTATGAACTGTGTTGAACTTTGAAGTTTTCCGATATCAAAACTACTCAGCTGTTTTCCAGATACCTCAGTGTCGCAATCAATAATGAAAACATTTCAAATAAGTTCTGGAAATATTATAGAAATTCATTTATTGAGAAAATATTGAGAAAAAATAGAATAGAAAAGATACACTATGTAGTAATCTACATATGTAATCATATGTATATTTATAATTCTACTAAGACTTTATTGTTGTTCACATAACTATGGAAATCAATACTAGATTCCATACAAATGTTCAAATATTCAAATTTGAAATATCTATAAAATATTTCGATGAAACGGTAGGTAATACAACAGAACTTATGCATTTCTGATTTCATTGACGAAATAAACAATTGAAATCAATACTATACTGTTCCCAGACACATTTTCCCAGGTGTTGTAAATATCACTCAACCAGTAGAGGGTTTCAGCAATATCAAACGTTTGACAGTTCATCATTCAGAATTTCTCTATAAACAAATAAAAGTGAATAATTCAATATGTCCATTAGTATCAAATGTCCTAGGCTGAGCTTTCTATACATTTTGAAATGTTATTTATTCAAATGGAAATAAATGTATTGAAAAGGAAATGCTTGCTTCAGCACATTTCCAAATTCCATTTTGAAAATCGTAAAATTATTAATCAATTGAGCATAAAAGGTATTGAATGAAAACATCAGATGGTGTTCGACTGTTTTACTTGTTACGAAAAATTACCAACTGATCTTTAGCACCACTTTTGTCAATTATTTTTGAATATTATTTATTATTTGTCGAAGGATTTCCAAATGCTTGTACGTTAATTGTGAATTGAATTGTAATTATGGTGGAACCAAAAAAATCTGCCTGAAAATTTATATCATCCAACGAGATTTACAAAGGCTTCTATGAGCTATAACTACCAAAAATTAGTGTGAGTTTTTGTTTATATGAATTCGATTACCTTGATATGATGACTCCAAGAGCACCGAGGAAGAGATAAATAGGCGGAAGCTGGAGAAGCAGAGAGCAATGCGTGAGAGCTTCATCGATGCCAGAAGGACAATCTTCCACTCCATCACACCACACAGTGGCGTTGATACATGCATCTAGCTCTGGGCAACGATATTGACATTCATCTGGTGCCATCATGAAGAGACCCAATCCATTTGGAGGGATATCGCGCCTAGAAAATGAAAAAAGTGTGAAATGGTCTAATAGTTCCTCATAATAACATATGAGAACTATTTGTTGCCCCAATTATGAAAGGATATTTCTGGAATGTTTGGAATGCACTTCTCACAAGTAATTACACATTACATTTTTCTCAATTCCAAAAATTGAAAGGGACTCACTCAGAATAATTTTTTTTTCTGTTGTGAATACTTTTACTGAAATTTCATTACGTTTTTATACAAGGTCGCTGATATGAATGGAAACGGTCGATTATCCCTTTTTAGTTTCAAACCAAATTCTGAATTATAAAACATATAACCTAAAATTGATATGAGAAATTCTGTCTTGAGCCAGTTTTTTATAGTTTGGTTCTCGAGAGGAACAGCAAAGTGGAAGTGTGTCTTCTAGGTGGGCATCCGTTAATCTCGAACGATATTTCTTTATCAAAAAAATTCATCGTTGAGAAAGAGGTTTCACATACGTATGTCGAGCCAAACGTAGTGGCCAAATTTATAGCTAGTCTCTTGCAATTTTCATATTTTTCTGGGACATGTTTGGCCCAAAATTCTTCATTGGATATCGTTTTATAGGGATACCTTCAAGAGATTAAACAACTTGGAGGCCAAATCTGTCCATTCTGCCGCTACATCAACTTCAAATGGCAATTTAAGAAATGGAGATAGCTTTCCCATCGCTGCAAATTTTCGGAATCTTGCAGCAAATTCGTTCCTAAGAACGGCCAGAAATTTTATAAACACCGCAAAGTCTTTTTTAGAGTTCCTTTTATATTCAAGAATTTTCTGAAAATGATTAAATTCTTGTCTTGCAATATCTATTTCAAAGATATCCAGTTTACATATGTGATACAAAGTAGACACGCTTTGTATCAGATCACACATTAATTTTCCATTTCCCTGTAATTCTGTGTTGAGCGCATTTGAATATTTCGAAATATCTTTTAGAAAAACTACGACAAACATTATACGCTTCTGTTTTATGAACTTAAAAGTCCTTTTTGGCTCCCTCCATATCAAAGTTATAGTTAGTATAGTTAGTAGTAAGTATAAGTTATATAGTTATATATATAACAGTTTGATATTCCTCTTGAAGATGATCACTTGGTGATCAAAACACGTGTCGAGGTGTTAAATAACGGTTTGGGGTTGGGAAGAAACTCCAGTAATATTCATTACTATACCAAGTACAATAAAGCGTATAGTGACACCGCATGATCCTCATTCATTATCACTGTGATGTATTAAAACTGTTCATTACCTGTTGAAAATTTTTCAACTACGCCTTTGTTTAATTTTTGTTTTTTTATAGTTATTGAGGAATGTATATATTTTATGTTTCACTTCACTACCAGAGAATTTTCATTCCATGACGGGATTCAGTCTTATTGTAGATAGTGTGTAATATAGGGGTGCAATGACAATCTGTGTTTCATTGTTCCTTTTGAACACTATAATCACCATATCAAAAATCCTCGTTTCAATTTTGCTCTGATGAAAATCAATTACAACAAATGCACACTGTTGTAATGTAGAAACATTAGCAGATTCATTCATGTTTGGTGAAACAAAACTCTCTTGAGGTTCTATTCTTTTCCAATAACTCCACGTGAAAAAATTGACTCCCAAAATATTTTAAACTACTTGAGTCATTTTAGTCACACATGTTCGAAGACATTTATAGACATTTATTTTTTCATATTGTCATCCACAGTATGACTTATTTCATCGGTATCTAGGGCATCCAAACTTGCAAAACATTTGAGGTTCACGATTATCGCGATGTTCCCTGCATATCCTGTTGGATATTTCATTATGAGATGAATATAACCACTGTTACTGTTGTTGTTTTACCAAAATCATGAATTGTTCCATGATGAAATTACGTATGGAGTATCCTCAGAATCTTCTGTAATTCTCTTACGGAAAACCGTAAGAGAATTACACTCAATTCAATTGAGCAAATTTTGGATAAACTGGAGAAAAAGGAAATAAAACAATTTTGTCAAGTTATTCACAAAGATATTGAAGAACAAATCATATTTTTATTGACAGTATCCAAGCTATACAAGATGGCATTCACAAAATTTTTAATTTGTCTTCAAAACCCACCACTAATTTTATTTTTTCATCAGCTCTTCAGTTCGAATTCTGAATCGCTCTATGAATACACATATAATTCAATTTTTTCAAATCACTTCCGAAAATGGAAAGCATTACATTCCATTTGCAAAATGTTAACTTTGATATGTCACGCTTCTACTAGATACTCTGTATATAGACGATCAACTGAAATAAACCTAGTACATCGATGAATTTCATTAGTTCGGACTTCCATTGTCCAATGGTATGGAAAGAACCAAAAGAATCGAAAGAACCAATTCAAATGACAAAATAAAAAGTGAAAAATAGAACAAATAAACGAAAAAAAATTAAAATTTAGAGATTCCAAGCCAAGTTACTTCACGACGTTTCGGTTGTTAGTATCCATAATCGTCTTCGGGTGATCACTGGACTAATTCCTCCAAGAGATGACTATTTACGGGTCATTCAGGTACTTTCACTCATCTCATCTTTCTGCTTCACCGGTTTAGAGGGAGATGACCAGTGTTCTTATCTGTGTATGATCTCAGTTTGGGACTACTTGATGTTATGTTGATAAGTCAAAACAAGCTCTGCTATTCCTGATTTGCTGGTTTCCCTCGCTGTGTGTGTTTCTTGTGCTCGGCAATGCGGACTTTCAATGACCTCTTAGTTTCACCGATATAGAATTTTCCGCACTCACAAGGTATCCGGTAAATGCAATTCTTCGAATTGCAGTCCATGTTTGGTGGCCTGGTTTTCGTGAGGCTTTTACGGATGGTGTTCCCAGATCTAAAGGAGATTCTGATGTTATACTTGGATATTATCAATCACCTTCAAACAAACACTGATATATCGATATTTTAAATGAAAAACTTTTTGATAATTTCACTTCTTGATCTTATACTTCTGATGAAACTCGATGGAAGCTGTATAAGTTTTGTTCTTATTGACTACATCTTAAAAACTTTCATCGCTCATTTGTGAAGTTACTGAATTCAATGGAAGTTTGTGAATTAAATGAAAAGTATAATTTTCATCATGGCCATCATTCTCTTTGCTACGAGAAAGACCTTTCTGGAACAAAAAATTTCACTCGTTGCTAGATTGTTTCTTTGATTAATTATTTCGAAGTGGAAAATACTTTGGCCTGTATATTTTTCTTCATTGATGACAAACGCACACAGTGCATACTAACGAACAATTATTTCGAATATAACTCATCGAAAAGGTTAATAATATCAAATGAAATGTTTAATTTGTTGAAACATGTCAAATAAATATATCACCAGTCATTAACTCCATTTTAAAAATTTCAGTGCAACAAAAAAAATCACTTTGAATGGTTTGACCACCAGGTAAAAAAAGGTTTGGTTCATTTTACCTCCTCGCTAACTCCAGCCACATTACAGGATATTCTCCCACCTCCTTTCCATAAAATTCAACTACGATCATCCTTGGCAACTCTCTTCCTAGACGATCGATCTCGACCTTGTCCAGAACCAGCCCGTCGACAGTGTGTTCACGATTTTCTTTGAGATGCCAACCTTCGGAGAACACTTCGACGAGATGATCTCGTCTGTAGGTGTTTTCATAAGGACATATCAGAGCCGAGAAGAGAGATGTGTGAACCTATTAAACAAAACAAAATTGGGTTTTTTATACAGATAAAAGGAAATGTAATTTTCAGTAATGAAAACCTGAACCTATGAATGAGTTTGAAGGTTTCAATTTCCATGAATACCTTAGCCTAAGTTTTAATTATGCACAAGGCTATTCAAATTTATGGGATCTCGTAAATAGTAAGGCAGATTACACACTGATGCGACACAACTAACACGACTGACTCATACATCCCGCTTTGGGCGAGACAGACACGATTTCTGGCAGTCTGCCCCGAGCTACGTCACGCTGGAAACCGCTTTGAAAAAAATTTACTTTTTTTAGCCTACTTTACCTACAAACTGTACTAATAAATGTAGTAATGTACATTTTTTTGCATTCTTATCGGTTACTGAGAAAGCACTATTAATATTATTCTAACTACGAAGGACGAGTAATAATATGCCATAAAGTTCTGGAATAGGTTCTAAATGGATTGTAGTTCAGTGTAGTTACAACAAAATATCACTATATTTTATACACATTTTACACAAGACTACAAATCATAAAATAACAATTGTCCTCAAACTACAAACGATGAAGTTAATTGTAGCTGAAATTAGATGTTTGTAGTTACCATTAAACATATCTTTCTTGTGCATTATTAGTCGTACGTCGTAGTTTGAATAGTATGAATAGTGCTTTCTCAGTAACTGATGAGACTACAAGAAAATGAACTCTACTACATTCATCCGCATCGTTTGTAGTTGAAATTTTGTTTTTGATTCACTACAAATGCAGTTTGAATATACTGGATTTTATTTCACTCATTTTTGATATGTTTAATGGTAACTACAAACATCTAATTTCAGCTACAATAAACTTTATCGTTTGTAGTTTGAGGACAATTGTTATTTTATGATTTGAAATCTTGTTATCGTAGCTTTTTTACTATACTTCGAAAGACTATAAAATAAATTAATATTGTGTTGTGACTACAATAAACTACAATCAATTGAAAACCTATTTCAAAACTTTCTTGCGCATTGTTACTCGTATTTACTAATAAATGTAGTAATGTTCATTTTTTCGCATTCTTATCGGTTACTGGAGTTCTGGAATATGTTCTAAATAGATTGTAGTTCATTGTAGTAACAACAAAATATCACTATATTTTATATTCTTTTGAACTGTAGCAAAAAAGCTACTATAACAAGACTACAAATCATAAAATAACAATCGTCCTCAAACTACAAACGATGAAGTTAATTGTAGCTGAAATTAGATGTTTGTTTGTAGATGAAATTAGATTAAACACATCTTTCTTGTGCATTGTTAGTCGTACGTCGTAGTTTGAATAGTATCAATAGTGCTTTCTCAGTAACTGATGAGACTACAAGAAAATGAACTCTACTACATTCATCAGCATCGTTTGTAGTTAAAATTTTGTTTTTGATTCACTACAAATGCAGTTTGAAAATACTCGATTTTATTTCATTCATTTTTGATATGTCTAATGCTAACTACAAACATCTAATATCAGCTACAATCAACTTTATCGTTTGTAGTTTGAGGACAATTGTTATTTTATGATTTGAAGTCTTGTTATCGTAGCTTTTTTACTATACTTCGAAAGACTATAAAATAAATTAATATTGTGTTGTAACTACAATAAACTACAATCAATTAAAAACCTATTTCAAAACTTTCCTGCGCATTGTTACTCGTATGTCGTAGTTTGAATAGTATGAATAGTGCTTTCTCAGTAACTGATGAGACTACTATGAAATGAACTCTACTACATTCATCGGCATCTCTTGTAGTTAAAACTTTGTTTTTGATTCACTACAAATGCAGTTGGAAAATACTCGATTTTATTCCATTCACTTTTGATGTGTTTAATGGTAACTACAAACATCTTATTTCAGCTACAATCAACTTCATCGTTTGTAGTTTGAGGATAATTGTTATTTTATGATCTGAAGTCTTGTTATGTTAGCTTTTGTGCTATACTTCAAAAAAATTAAAATAAATTAATATTGTGTTGTTACTACAATGAACTACAATCAATTTAGAACCTATTTCAAAACTTTTTAGCGCATTATTAATTGTATTTCGTAGTTTGAATAATATCAATAGTGCTTTCTCAGTAACTGATGAGACTACCAAAAAATGAACTCTACTACATTAATCAGCATCGTTTGTAGTTAAAATTTTGTTCTTGATTCACTACAAATGCACTTGAAAAATACTCGATTTTATTTCATTCATTTTTGATGTGTTTAATGGTAACTGCAAACATCTAATTTCAGCTATAATCAAATTCATCGTTTGTAGTTTGAGGAAAATTGTTATTTTATGATTTAAAGTCTTGTTATAGTAGCTTTTTTGATACAGTTCAAAAAAATATAAAATATAGTAATATTTTGTTGTTACTACAATAAACTACAATCCATTTAGAACTTATTTCAGAACTTTTTGGCTCATTATTACTCGTTCTTCGTAGTTAGAATAATGTCAATAGTGCTTCTCAGTAACCAATAAGACTACAAAAAAATGACATTACTACATTTATTAGTATCGTTTTTAGGTAAAGTAGGCTAAAAAAAGTAGATTTTTTTCAAAGCGGGTTCCAGCGTGACGGAGCTTCTGTCCCGGATCAATAGTCCCGCTATTGCAAACTGATAATTTAAAATGTATTTTCCCGCTCGAAATGCGTAGCATGGCGCTCCGCAAGTTTTCCTTTAATATTAGTTTGCAAGAAAAATATCCATTTACTTTATAAAACAAAGAAAAGATGATACTGCAGTATGGGTTTTAATGTTGGACATGGTGGTGCTAATGATATAGAAAAATATTTAAAATCAGAAAAACAGCGACTTGCCGATCAAGATGCTGCTTCAAGTTTGTCAATTCTTAGTTTTTTTTAAGAGAACCGATTTACCGACTTCTAATAATTGGATATAGCTGCAGCTGAGAGTAAAGTCGAAGTAAACGATGTTGTGTATACTTAGGAAATGAGATATTTCCAAAAAAAGCGCAAAAAACCGATTTTTGTGACCTTTGACCTTGAAATTTAATAGTTGCTTACACCCTACCATATGTAGGTTTTGAGACAACTTTAAGGGTGTCAATATACAAGTATTTACAGACTTACAGCTGGGTATCTCGAATTCCGATATTCTTACCTAATTTAAGCTTAAATGACTGGATTAAGGCATCAATAGTCCCGCTATTGCAAACTGATAATTCAAAATGTATTTTCCCGCTCGAAATGCGTAGCATGGCGCTCCGCAAGTTTTCCTTTAATATTAGTTTGCAACGAAAGTATCCATTTACTTTATAAAACAAAGAAAATATGATACTGCAGGCGCTAAGTCTGGGTTTTAATGTTGGACATGGTGGTGCTAGTGATATAGAAAAATATTTAAAATCAGAAAAACAGCGACTTGCCGATCAAGATGCTGCTTCAAGTTTGTCAATGCTTAGTTTTTTTTAAGAGAACCGATTTACCGACTTCTAATAATTGGATATAGCTGCAGCTGAGAGTAAAGTCGAAGTAAACGATGTTGTGTACACTTAAGGTTGTCTGCACTCTCAAAGGCCAAAAAACCAATACATAAAAATGAACCGGCTGCGAAATAGTCCACGTGGACCGTAGAATTGGCGGTTCGTATTGGATAATTTTTACTATGGGGATGGTTATCGCCGTGTCGTGTCATCAATGTTCATTTCAGGAACTGATTGCTATTTGAATGTTGAAATTCGTTATTGGTACAGTTATAATTACTTAAAAATTTCTGTTATCTGTTTGAAATGTGGCGTCCTTGGACAATCACTAATAGTAATAACGAGTGTGATAACAACGCAGACTTTCATCAGGGTAGTTGTCCAAAAGCAATGTTGAACAATGCCGAAAAAAGATACCAGTGAATACAATTCGAATGCATTTGAATATTGAAACACAGAGAGTAGAGAATATGTTTCAATGTATATAAGAATCTACATCTCAAGTTTGATTTCGAGGGAAACAAACTATTACGAGCAACATGAGGAAGAAATTGAATATTTTCGGCCATAACGTGAGCTGATGTGACAAAAATCTTCAGAATTGGATAAAGATTGGACATCCCACTGAATCAACTGCAGAGAGATTCTATGACTAGTTGGAATTATTTTCATTTGCTCGTGATACTCAGACAGTTTACACCGTTCTGAAGAGACCATGCCCGGTACTGATGATGGGGCAATCACCCCGAAACCGGTCTATCAGTTTTGGTAAAAATACAACTAGGGNCTTCAGCCGTATTAGTATTTGACATTTCGAGAATTTTAAACTTTAAAATACCGTATATGTACACACTACAGGCGTTAAAACGTTACTCACCACTCCGACCCTGTAACGATATACCTGAATGAATTCTGCCAGCCGATTGCAGATAAATCTGATTGGCCAGAATGAGGAGACTTGATTTTTTTACCCAATAGATACAACTGTGCGTGGTGATTATGCTTTGATAATGTAGTTATCATTTTTTGGGTTACTTGGTTTGTTGGATGGATAGAGTTTAGTTTCATCAGTCTGACCCATATGGATTTCGTAGAAGCATTCACTCTTTGGCAATCCGAAAGAAGCAACCATATGACTACTTGTATGCGACTGGACATGCCTGTCGCACCGTGATCAGTTGCATTGGTTTGTGTATGTATCGTCATCATGTTTTTTATTTTAAAGCAAAATGAACGATTTTGGCAGAAGTTATAAGGTCAAGTAGATCAACGAAGGTTATTGAACTCATGTTATACACAGATCTGAATTTAACCGTGTCATGAAGTTCCCTTGCAGCTATAAACATTATTCGTTCAAAATCTTCTACAAAATACAGGTGCACCCAGAAACGTCTTTTCTTTTTCCTACGAGAAAGTCAAGACATGATAACATTTTCGTCTTCTGACGACTCCATTTCGACTCGATTATAGTCGAATCGATTGTACAACAATGTGAAAATATCGATATCATACAACTAGTT